TTGCAAGTTTGGAAAGCGTCTCCTGGAGCAGTACAAGATGACAAAGAACATACAAACGGGTGTGTGGCAGTTCACAGGTGGGGCTGATGTTGAGGTTCCTGATGTTGCTCCACCTGCAGACATGGTTGAGCCCGAGGTGGAGGATGATGATGACGATGATGATGAGACTGACTTGCAGGATATAGCTGAGCCTGAGGGTGGGTTTTCATTGCGTGATGTCATGAAGGGCATAAACGCCACGCTGAAGAAAATAGGAAAAATGGCGCTGAAACACAAAAAATGGAGGAAAAGTCACATCCAGAAAGGGAATGAAAGGTTTGGACACGTACAAGGAAGGTTCAAGGGTGTTGAAGATAGGCTTGCTCGTCTAGAGCTTGGACGAGGACAGCAGGTTGAGGATGTTGCAGGGCAGGGGGCTGATGTGTCAGATGAGCATGACGAGGAGACAACGTCCGAGGAGGAGGAGGAGGAGGATTAGATTTAGGGTTTATGTTTTTATTTTCCGTTTGTAGTGTATGTTGTTATGTAATTGACTTCGGTCTTCTTATTTGACATTTGTAGTTTATATGGTATTATGTTTAGGGGCTAAACTATTTAATGTTATCAACTTTGTTGTTACTTATTACTTATTTATGTCATTTTCATTGTTTACCACATGAAGGATCATGGTATTTTTCCATGAAAATTTTCAATTTGGGTCTAATTACATCCCAACAGGTCTAAAATGTCTAATGCAACTCAGAACAGTCACTCGTAAGAGAGTTAAATGACTTTACCAAGTTTCGGGTACCCTAAACCAACATTTAGCCAATACATGTACATATATGGTTTATAACCGCCACAATACTTTTTTGTACCCCAAATTATGTTCCCCAAGTCATAATATGCGTGTACATTAGTGTACAATCGGTTCCATGCCAAAAAAATTCGAGGAAAACAGAATGGGGTGCCAAAACCTGTTATGTAGTCGATCAACCTGTCGACTAAACCAGTATAGGTTGATCGACTACATAACAGGTTTTGGCACCCCATTCTGTTTTCCTCGAATTTTTTTGGCATGGAACCGATTGTACACTAATGTACACGCATATTATGACTTGGGGAACATAATTTGGGGTACGAAAAAGTAAATGGTCCATTCGTATGCATTGTTGGGTACGTATTGATGGAAACCGTTTGTTTACGCTCCCCGAAACTTGGTGAATTCATTTTGGGGTCATATTAGTAATTGTTATAAGTTTCAATCTATCAATATGGGCCACTATTACTAATTTGAATACAAATCAACATACAAACAACATAAAGTAACATACAGTACACATTGTAACATAATGTTTCATAACATAATTACATGAACTAAACCATAAACACATTAGCTCCCTCCCATGGTGCTCACTAACATCAACTTCATAAATACATGCATAACATTGGTTCAACTCTGTCTAATCCCCATAGGGCATGTACGTTTATTGTGACCAATTTGCTTGCAGGTGCTACATCTACTTTGACTGCTTGTGGGTTGGGACTCAACCCAATCCATCTCATTCTGTATCCTTGAAGACTTCGGTCTTCCTTGTGCACGAACCAAAGATGCATTTGGGATAATTGTTGGACCATCTATTTCTGGAATCAACAACTCATTACCCATTGGATACCAATGTGCAGCATAGACCTTCTCAATTTGTGTAATTGAGAACACAGGATCGACATAGTCATAGTGGTTCAATTTTTCAACCTTGCACACCGCTAGCACATGACTGCAAGGAAATCGTCTAGCTGTGAACCGTCCACATTGACATTTACGATTTAGCAAGTCAACCCTCATAATGTCGCCGGCATCATGCGTAGATTGATTGTAGGCATCCTTTACTTCAAACAACTGCAAGTCTCTATAAAAAACACGGACTCGGAGACTGACAGTAAACTGATCATTCTTTTGTAAGAAGTCCTCAACCTTTTTTGCAATTCTCCAGCCTTTTTCCTTTGCTTTTTGGATCTTTTCACGCCTCTTGACAAAATACTCAACAAGTCTACTTTGCGTCATCTTGACCAATGCCGTTACTGGCAAATTACGTGCACCCCTTAGGACCTTATTAATACACTCAGATAGGTTAGTCGTCATATGACCAAACCTTCGGCCCTCCTCATCATAAGACCTGCACGCTTTCTCTTTGGGAATCTGATCTATCCATGAAGCTACTTGTGGGTTACTGTCGACAAATTCTTGAAAACTTATATCAAAATGAATCTTCGAACACATGTAACCTGCAAAAAATTAAGACAAATTGAACGAGTTATACATAAACAACATTACATACAACATGTACACATTCAGGAAAATTGTATACCTAGTTTCATCAGCGTTTTCTTCAGTTCCACGTCCCTAAACTTAGTGTTAAAGTTGCTTCCAATGTGATGAAGACAAAACACGTGATACGCAAATGGAGGCTGCCAACCGGCATGATCCTTCACAGCCCTGATGATGCTGGGGTGACGATCGGATATTAGACATAGACCATGCCTATGTGTGACATGGAAAGGCATGAGGCTAAGAAACCACAACCAATCATCCAGTCTCTCACCCGGTGGAACAATGGCAAACGCAATAGGCATAATGTATCCATCACCATCCTGTGACGTAGCAATCAAGAGGGTACCTTTGTATTTCCCGTACAGGTGCGTGCCATCAATTTGGATTATGGGTTTACAATATTTGAAAGCCTCAATGCACTGGTGAAAAGTCCAAAATACCCTGTGGAAGACAGCCTTATCGGTGTAGACACGTTGTTCGTCACAACACTGGTCCGTATCAATCTTGAACACAGAACCAGGATTAATCTGTGTCATGTAGGTCAGCCAACCAGGTAAGAAGGCATATGATTTATCCCAATCGCCAAACAACTTCACAATGGACTTCATTTTAGCCTTCCAAGCCTTCCTATAAGATATGTTATATCCATACAAACGTTGTACCCTCTCCTGAATAAGAATTAGTTTCAGAGATGGATCTTCTTTTAACATACCTATAAAAAAATCGAAGTCAACACAGTCAATAAATATACCGTAAAAATAACATAAACATAACTAATGTAACCAAACATCGCGTAATACATACTTATAATGTCTGCACAGATTACATCAGAATCCAGCTGTCTATGGTCCCGGGTAAGGCCTTGGTTTAGGTAGGTGTGTTCTTTGCTCCACTTACTAACAACCCAAGTATTTCCATTCTTGGGCAACATAGCCTGCACGTACCAGGGACAACCATCATTATGGTGTCGACACTTCATCACAAATCTATGGTCATCACTTTTTACCACCACTGCAGTACGATGAGCCTTCATACAATATAGTTTGACTGCATGTTCCATTTCAGATTTAGTTCGAAACTCCTGGTACAAATATAATGGATCCCCTAATTGCCAGCCACCGTGGAAGTCATCGTCGCCATACAATATCTCCGTCTCATCATTAGGGTGAGCCCAATTAATGAAGGAATAATGTTGGCTTTCGTTCCAAAACGGCTCAATCTCGGAACCTACGTCCAAATTACAGGAGTTATCCGTCAGTACGAATGATAACAAAAATATGAAATATTCATTTAAAAACTTTGATTTACTATCTTACCACTGCTAACAAGGTCAACACGGAGTGGTGGCGTAACCTGGGAACTCAGGTTTCCTGAACTTGTGTCAGCGTCAAAATTCCCCTCTACGTCCGTATCTGAGGTGTCACCCAGCGGAATAACACTCTCGGGTTCACCGTCGTCTTCACTGTCCATATCCTCCTCATGCTCATCCTCATCCTCGTCTATTTACCTCAGTGTTATCTGACTTAAGACAGGTGCAGGTGCAGATAAACCGACCACTCTGTCTTCTTGACTTTGACTTCTTTCATGCATAGGTGCAGATGAAGATTGACCACAATCTATTTCAACATATATCTCAATAAAGTTTTGAAATTTTCGGTCCACAATTGCATCTATGACACATTCCACATCTTCATCGTCACATATATCATTACCAATGTAGAATATAGCATCCTTACCAACTGTAGACTCTACCCTGGCGATCATCCGTTGAATGCACTGGCTGCCTTGTAGCCCCAATTTTTGGTGAATCCTCCCTTCCAGCTCATTGTACGTAGTGCCCCGTTTGATTTTCAACATTTTTGTTTTCCCTTCAAATTGAACACCGTTGGGGCCTTCATAATGCTTTCCATCATAGTAGATCATTGTAACATACATGTTTGGGTTTGAGCTCATCTTTCACACGAATTTGGGGGTAGGAATCAGATTTTAGGGTTTTGGGGGGAACAAATGAGAAAATAAGGGGAATGACAATGATTTCACAATTACTATGATTTGGAGATGGTGGGAAGAAATGGAATCGTTATTGGAAGGATCACAACTGACAAATAAGAGATAGAGGGGGTACAAAACGAAAATATTGCAAATGAGACCGAGAGAGGGCTGGATATAGGGTCTTCTGCGACTTTTAATCGACTAAATAATGTCCTTAGTCGATTAAAAGTGCTCGAAATGTAGTCGATCAAGGTGAGGATGTAGTCAACTAAATCTCGTGATTCATGTTTTATGCATTTTGACCATTTAGTTGATTAAAAGTGCAAGTTGATCGACTAAATGGAGGCATGATTGTGGATAGTTCTGGGGGAGGGACAAATTGATTATTAATTAATTAATGAGGGACAAAAGGGTTAAAAAGCCTAAAAAATTACTATCTCTTAGTCCATTATTCCTTGTAATTTTAATTGGAATTCATTTATTTAATACTAAGAAAGAAAGAATTAGGCACCCAAATTTTCACCATTATAAAATTCACTTCCGGACAATGTTTAAAAATAAAATTTTTAAATTTTCGTTCACATTTCCAAGCCTTTTCCACTAGAATACATACAAACAGGAGACGTATCAAGCAAGCCGTTAGTTAAAGCGATGGTTTTTGGTTTCACTCGCGAACTCACTAGACTCAGAATAACATAACAGAGCCTTGGCGGTTTCTCCTCCAAATTCCAATTGAAAACGGAACTGAACAAACCTCACGGCACCGCGAACTGCAAATGACGGAGCAGACGAAGTTCAGCGTCGTCTGCAGCTTCTTCAAATGGACACAGAGAAGCAAATCGCCGGCGAAGAAGCGCTCCAAGTTCCGCAAGTTCCTCGACTCCTTCTGCAAAGACGGCAATTACTTCCCCGCCATTCGCCTGATTCTCCCCAATCTCGATCGCGAGCGTGGCTCCTACGGCCTCAAGGAGTCCGTGCTCGCCACCTCCCTCATCGATGCTCTCGGCATGTCCAAAGACTCCGACGACGCTCTTCGCCTCATCAATTGGCGCAAAGGCGGTGCAAAAACCGGTGCCAGTGCCGGTAACTTTGCACTTGTTGCCGCCGAGGTTCCCTTCCTTCTTCTCTTTTAGGGTTCTATTTTGTGTGCGCATGATATTTTGGTAACGATTGTTGCTGAGAATGAAACTTCATTGTTTTTCGTTCTGAAACAGGTGCTGCAGCGTAGGCAAGGTTCGGCTTCCGGTGGATTAACAATAAAGGAGTTGAATGACTTGCTTGATCAGTTGTCTTCGAGTGAAAACAGGTGCGTAGTTTGAATATTTCCGTACTCAGTTATCGTCTCTTTATATCTGCTATGTCATTAGTCCCTTGCTTTTGTATCTGAAAATGTTTACCACATGATGTAACATCTTATAAAGTTTTGATAGAGGGGAAAATAATATTTTTTTTAAAAAATAAAATAAAATTGGTGAAATATAGATAAAGAAAGAATATACTTTGAAGTTAATTTGAAAAAGTTTTCATCTCCACCAGAAAAAATTGATGCTGCAAGAAATTCTCTTTCAATATCCCTTTATGATTATGAGCATTGAGGTTTGTGAAAATCTGTCTATCAGCTCAATTAGTCCAAGATCAAGCGGCCAGAAGAATACGCCACTGTTCTGTGTTTTTGTTTCCTTTGTTTTGTTGTTTTAGGAGGATCTATCGTCCTCCTCTTATATGCTTCTCTTCTTTTTCTTGAAAGAATTTTCTTTTATTCAAAAGGACCCATTTCATGAATTTTCAGGATAAGTACATTATAGTAAAACAAGACTTTTTCTTCCATTCAAATTTGAAAATATATTAACAAGGAAAAGTAGTCTCAATTACTTGTAATTTGTTTATGCATCTCCAGTCCATAGGAAAGCCTGGCTACAAGCTCTAGCTATCTAGGTTTTCCATCCTCCCGCACCATCTCCTATGGAGAGCTAGGTTCTATAGAGAGCATTATAGTCACTTCCCAAGTATAGCAGAATTAAACTCTCTTAATATTCTAATTCGGTAATCCCTAATCCACGTTTTTATGGTACTTTGCAGCAAATTTTTTCTCAATTGACTAGATGAAGTTCTTGCTCCTTGTCCATTCTAAATAAAAACAACAAATAATAGATAATAAAGGTGAAGGAGAAAAGAAAAACCTGCTGCTTTTTCTTCAATCTCCTAGATGCTAGGATGAAAGGTGGAAAAAGTCCCAAAGTAAATGGTCAACTTTGATATGGGCTTGGGTAACAGCGCTATTAGACTCTTCAGAGTTTGAATGTGTTATGAAATCAATATTATTTGTTGATGCCGAGGGGTAAATCTATTTATACCAGATTCTATTATCTATCAATTATCAAAATATGTAGGTTCTTAACAGCCTGCAGATTGGATTGAAAAATAATGTTTACCAATTTAGTAGCTTCCCTTTTTTGTGAAGCTTTCACTCTAGGTGTACTACAGATGAAAATATTTTACAGTATATTGAACCAGAAGACCTTATCTCCGTGCATTCCTATCTGACATGTTGCTATTGTGCTTTTAGTTTTTTGTGGTGAATTAGTGATGTGAAAATATTCTCATGGTTCTTAACTTCATGCTTCACCATTCTTTATGTTAGTTTTTATTTAACCTGATTCTTGTATGGGGTAACCATGGTTACAGGGCTCAGAAGACTTTGGTTCTTTCTACCCTTATACAAAAGACAAATGCACAGGAAATGAAGTGGATTATCATGATAATCCTGAAAGGTGTTTTATCATTTACGCCTTGAATTGATTTGATTCCTTAAATTAGATTTGAGCATTTAACTAAGTTTTTTCACAGATCTAAAGCTGGGAATTAGTGAAAAAAGCATTTTTCATGAATTCCATCCAGATGCCGAAGACTTGTTTAATGTTACATGTGACTTAAAATTAGTTTGTGAAAAGCTAAGGGATCGGAATCAGCGTCATAAGCGGCAGGTTAGTTGTGATTGTTATCTTCTTTATTCTTTTAACTTGGGCTCCGAATGAGCAAAGTTGAGCTGAACACTAGCATTCACAAACTTGTTTAATTAAAATATCCTAAGCATGACCTTTAGTTTAGCTACAATTTATGCTCGGTCCAAACTAGTATATGCTTTGCTTGCCTCTACTTCATTATTTTGTAATTGTTTACTTCAGATATTTTTCTTCAATCTTCGTTATTGCCACTTTCCTTCCCACTTGATATCATTGAAAACCCCTTGTGCCATCGCTAAGCTGGTCAGATTCTTCTATATTGCCTTTTCCATAAATATTGCTTTTGATGTTACTTGATTTGGTTGATTAATTGATACATGTCAATCCCTAAAACTAAGGGATTTGATTTTGTAATGTTTTCATCATAAATCCATAAGGATGAGAGGATTTCTCTCTTGAAATTCCTAATAATCAAAGGTTTGAAGTTGGTATCTAGAGCCCAAGTTTCCTTTGGTTGTGAATCCGTTTGATCACCATAATCGATGGCTGAACACCTAAGAAAGGGCTAACCATCATTCATCGACAAACACATCTTGAAACTTCTTTGAATGTGCTCTCATGTGCCTTCTTGTAAAATGTCTTCTTTCTGTGTATGTAATCCACATGTTGCCCTGTGAACAACATTTCGTGACGGGTCTTCCCCTGTCTCTTGGTTGGTGGTTTTTGCTCCCATTTGAACCTCCATAGGAATAAATTGTTTCCTTTCTCTCTCTTGACTTTTATGTCATATTTGTCTTTCGTCACCTCTTAATCTTCAAGGATACTACGTCATTTCATCCAACCAACTTTGATTCTATGGTTTACGTCCTCATCAATTTCTCCTCCTTTTTGCAAAATTGATCGCAAAAATCTAAAACTATCTTTCTTGGTTATTTCTTGTCTAAACAAATGCACGGAATCTTGATCTCCATCTCTTGATGAAGCAAACTCACATTTCAGATAGTGTCTTACTTCGACATAGTGTAAATCGCTTAGACTTTAACATGCTTTTGCACAACTCTAATTTTTTGTTAACACCGATCGTAGTCTCATCAATTAGTACAATATCATCTACAAACAAAATACACCATGACAACATTCTTGGATACCTTTTGTTAGTTTATTTGTAACTAAGGCAAAAAACAAGGACTCAAAGAAGAATCTTGATGTAAACCTACTTTGATAGGAGTGCTTCGCTCAAAAGCTAGTTTGTACGGTAAGAGAGCCCAAAGTCAATTTAAATCCCACACCAGAACCTTATGTTTCTGATGTGGGACTCCAAATCCCGTACCTTACAAGTTACAACTAGATCGTAACATCCCACCACGCTCCGCAACCTTAGCGCACATGAGTCATCATTCATGCTGCCTGATTGCAACTGAGAGACATGGTGGAAGCTCTGCTACCAATTAATATGAACCTTGGGAGAGCCTCATTCCAAAAGCTAGCTTGTAAGTTAGGAGAGCTCAAAGTCCATATAAACTCCACACCAAAACGTTATGTTTCCAAGGTGGGACTTCAAGTCCTAAACCTTACAATTGGATCGTAACATTATCTTATGATTTTGGGATTAACCAAACCCATTAATCCTTAGGATTTTAATTTTTGATTCCATGATCTCTCTTTAAATTCTTCAATCTTTTCAAGTGTCTATAACCTGGAAACACTCAAAATTACAGATCAAGACCTGCTCTCGTTTCTAAATAAAGCTCAGTTCACCATTGAAACAATCACGTTGATATTGGCCGGTGGTAACTGTTGGGTGCTTATGTTCTTTAAGGACGTTCCCTTTACTTAGTCCATCAAAAGAAAATGCATTCGTTCTCTTGATATCAATCCAGTCGCGCAAGTGCACGCATCAAGTAATAAATAAGATTATTAGTGCCTGGATTATCGTTCCCACGAGGATAGAACTCTAAATAATACCTTTAACTATTTTGAAAAGAATTGTTAATAAGAGAAAAGACAGTATTTGAACTGTTTGGTCTTGCGTTCCCTGCTGTAATGAGGACGTTCCCTCAAGATAACAGGTTCAGTTTGACTCTAAACAACTCCTCGCGTCGTTATATATCAAATCCTTCTTGATGTGAGAAGGAACGACAAAATTCATTGGAGTTTTGGTTATATGGTCACAAGAATTATAAAGGATAATAATTAAAGATAACAATATTTAAGGGACAACAAGTTGGATAGATAAAAACAATTTTTAACACAATTAACAAATCCACTGTTTCATTCTTAAATAGCTATGCCCTCGACTCAATACTTAACCCTTCTGAATTTGTTCAGGTCTTTTCACTGCCAACTCTGATTCCTCAGCTCATGGACTTGAGTGGCTCACAAGTTTCCATATTCCTATGGTTCCCTCGACTCCAATAGTTACTAAGTTCAGAACCTTTAGAGAACGAGGTGGTTCCTTATTCCTAAGGCAAACAGTAGCATTGTTTTCACAACCCTACCTTCCTCGTATGATTAAGTTGTCTGAAATCGCTTCCTTAAGGAAGTTTCTTTCTCATTTTGAGTTCAATTTCCATTGATACACAGAGTTAAGCTCACTTAAATCACAGAAATACAAAAGCTTTAGTGCAAAAGTTCTGAGCATAGTTCTTTAAGAACTTCACAGTTTTTCCATTCCAAAATAACTTAGCCCATGGCTGAAAACATAAACACAGTTATTTCAAACTGAAGTCCCATAGACCCGAGATTCAGTTTAAAGATAACGAAGGGAAGAGAAGAGAAATAACAAATATATATTAATAAGAAATAAATTCAGATTACAAGGAAATAAAATGGAGAAATATGGGTGATGCTCGTAAGGAGTCTCAAATGGTGAAAAGAGAGTAGAGGAAGAGTTATTGTCACTTAACTATTGTTAAAACTATACAATTGTAAAACAGAAACTTAAACTATCCTAGGTGATCTCTTCTTAAGGAATTCGATACTTTCTTCGTGTTGGAACGTCCTATTTATAGGCCAGAAGAGTGGATGGCAAACTTATAATTCTGCCTTAGTTGTTCCTTGATTGCATGAAGAGGCGGTGCTAACAATGCTTTGATATGCGAAGCAAGTTGTTTGGATGGGACAATTTAAGGTTGAGATTTTCCTTTTTCTACTAAATTTCCCATGCTTGCTTTTTCTCTAACCCAATGGTTGCTCTTTATTCTCTGCTGTACACGTTTCTTCATGCTTGATTGCTGTACTTTTTTCTGCTTTTTGGAAGCTTCTTTTCAACGTTTCTTGTAAAGTGGTCAGAGATGGGGTTAGTGGAACAGGTGTGCAAATAAGTCAATCCGTTCCTCTTTTCTCAACTGATTATATCATCATCCGTTCCATTCTGGTGCTTTTGTTCTCAAGATCTGGAAATGTGTTTTTAAGGCACAAAATGGTTACCAGATGAGGGAACGGATGAAATTTTTCCATCAAAATGAGCTTAGAAGGTAACGAATTTTCGTCCCATCAGTAACCTTCAAAAGGTGGTGGGCAAGCTTGAGAACATGTATATGGTGTTTGTTATCGTTAGTCTTCATTAAGATTTTAAATATGTTCAGAGTTAACTCTTGGAAAATTATACTATCCTTGCGACGGAGGAGTTCATTGATCGTTTGCTGTGAATGATTTCCTGAAATTGGATCTCAAAACAGTTTTAGAAAAGATCCTCTTTGGAGAAATAATTGTCTCATTTGTGAACTCTAATGATCAATTACCAGATATCTTCACCAATCTCTCCAAGGCCAAACGGTAATATACATACATAACATACTTGATGCATATGATTTATATGTCCCATCTTGAGGAGTGTTGATATTACTGGATTTAGTTGATATTAGTTGATATCTTTTTTAATTAAAATAGGACATAATATATACATCTTCTGTAAATAGATGTGTTAATCCCTAAAATTAAGGGATTGATTTGGTAATTTTTTAAATATAAATCCCTGAGGCTGAGAGGGTTTCTCTTAAGCATTTCCTAATTATCAAAGGTCTGAAGTATTGCCATGGAAAATAGAAATAGAAATATAAATGGAAAGTTTCCTAACTGCATGTCGCTTCTTATATATGCTTTGTGGGAACAATCTTAAATCTTCTTTTCTTCTTCTGTAGGACATTGAAGTTGGAAAAGCTGTGCGCCCTCAATTAGCTAAGAGAGTTGCTAACGCAACTGAAGCATGGAAGAAGGTTTGCTTCATTAAGCCTTTTAATCATGTCGCATATGCCTCAAACAAATCACCTTTCATTGTTATTCCTTTTTTTGGTTACATCACATGGAAATGGGAACATTTTGCCACAGTCAGGGTTTAAAACCACTGGTTGGACCTCCCACCCCTGAAGTGGCAAGCTACTTGACAATTGGGTTCTGAGGCTGTGTTCATTTATTCTATGTATACAGAGCAATTCCTTTTTAATGTCTTTCTCTTTTGTTTTGTTTTCTCTTAAATGGCTAAGATTTTAATGAGATTTTTTTATATTATTATTAATTATTTCTTGGCTAAAACTGTAATATTTACTGAGTAAAGGAAGAGATTGTTAGTAGCAGGTCCCCAATTAGGAAGGTGTATGTGAGGAGAAATAAGAATGGGCCTAATGATTTAGATGGGCTAGGCCCTATTAGTAAAAGAAGTTATGGCTAATTCATATTGTTAGATAGAGTAGATAGAGTTATTTGATTTTAATTGATATTGTTAGTTATAGTAGATGAAATTACTTGTAATTAAGAGATATGGTTAGATACAACAGCTAGGATTTCGTAGTACTGGGGATATTTCTCTAAAGGATCACTAGTTAGGATATAAGGAAAAATAGGGCAGAGAGGAGGCATTATTGAGTGGAAAACATTGTGTGTGTGGGAGAGACTCGGCCTGCAAATTTTTGGGGGACAGCCACACTTATAATCACTCTTTCTCTTCCTAACCTTGGGTTTCTCATAAATACTGGGGGAAGGGCAATCTTATTAATAAAATCTCATCTGTTTTTCCTTGGGTATTCCCTAAATTCAGAACCTATCAGTCTCCTTTCTTTCTTTTCCTCCTTCCTTACCTAAATCCTATAATGTCAACATCAATGACCACCTATTCCAGCACAAAGTAGTTGAGGACTGTAACAACTATATTTAAAACTGTCCGATGGATAAAATGTATGATTTCATGCAAAGAGAATTTATTAGCTTGACATTTTATTACTCAATTTTATTGTTTCGTACGTTTCTCTTTTATTTAGCTTCATGGGAAGGAAGTGCTTGTTGAGTGCAAATTTGATGGTGACCGCATTCAAATTCATAAAAATGGAACAGAGATACATTTCTTCTCAAGGTAAGTGCATATGTGTATTTTGTAACTAAATGTAATTTTTTTACTTCAGACTGTAGCCCTTCCACCTCAGGAGGATTCTTGCTTTTATGCCACCTTCCCAGTCTCTGTGTGTGTTATTTCTTATGATTAAACCCCAAGATTGCTCAGTGAATCGGTTTATATGGCAACTTTTGCCTGATGTAACATGATATGGAAATTCTTATTTTTTGTGGTTTTTCATTTGCCTACATATTTTTGAAAATGTTATACACTTTATTTTTACATATTTCCCCAGATAGGGCTTCTCTTATTTACATTTGTGCCCACTTTTGTAGGAATTTTCTTGATCATTCTGAATATGCACATGCGATGTCAGAAATCATAATACAAAACGTTCTTGTAGAAAGGTGAACATTTATTTTGTCTTTCATGTATTACAATTTTGTTTATTTTGAATAATTTGTATCCCATTATTTTATTCTCGTTGATAGGCAGGATACATGCAACTATATATATGTGTGTGTGTGTTTGTGTGTGCAAAGGAGATGGTATGGTTTGTGTTGTAAATAATTGTATTTGTTTATTTATTTATTTCCATTCTAGAATTTTCTTTGGGCTTAGCCCATTAGGTTATTTAGTCTCTTTGAATAGAGAGCAATTGTACAGATATAATATACAATTTATCAATAAGATTATCTCTTTTTTTCAACTTGGTATTAGAGCTCTCGATTCTGAGGGCTCTTCTTCCGCGACTGCCGCCTTCAAAGCAGAACCCTATTTGTTTGCCTCTAACCGCCATCAAGCCGCCACTGGATTTTTTTTTTTCGAGGATCTTTTGGACTGAGAGGATCTTTGTTTGACTCTTTTTCTACTGCGGTACTGTTTATCGGTATTGTTCACTACGCGCACTGTTCATCGGGCACTGTTCACGCGCACTGTTCATGAGGTACTGCTCACGCCTGAAAGAAAAATAAAATAAAAACTGTTCCAGGACAGAACTGCTCGGTTTTCTCTCCTCTTTCCAGATCTATGTTTTCTCTTCGGTCAGACATCATTTGGATTTGCGTTTGTGTGATTTTCACCTCAACATTATGGCGGGTTCAAATGGTGCATCCTCAGAATTTATTTCTATTCGTCGAGATGAGTTGGAGCGGATTTAGACTATGCTTGATTCTCTGAGTAAGCCATCTAGTACTAGTACTTTGGCTATGACTGGTATGAGGTCCACTACTCATTCTTTTCATACTTCTTGTACTGATTTAAAACATTTTTGGATTATTGATTCTGGTGCTACTGATCATGTGGCTTGTTGTGCTGACTCCTTTCTCTTGTATAACCCTACTATTGGCACCTATACAGTAGCCGTAGGCCCGTTGCTGATGGCTCGCTCACATCAGTTGCGGGTTCTGGTAACATATATTTACAGCCTTCCTTACAACTCTAAAATGCTCTTTATGTTCCCAAACTCTCCACTAATCTTCTCCCTATCCATAAAATTACCAAAGATTTGAATTGCACTGTAACTTTCTTCCCTACTCACTGTGTTTTTCAGGATCTCGCCACGGAGAAGACAATTTGGGGTGCTAAGGAGCAAGACTGGTGTACTATCTGGTGCCAGAATCTTCTGCAGAGTATGCTAAGTATCACACTTTATTGACTCATTCTCAGTCTACTGCTGACTCTTTGATTTGGCTTCATCATAAATGCTTGGGGTATCCTCCATTTCGTTTGCTTAAGTCTTTATTTCCATCATTATTTTTGTCTAAGTCTGTTGAGTCTTTTCGTTGTGATGTTTGTGAGTTTGCTAAACACCAACGTGTCTCTTTTCCTTCCAGTACCATTAAAAGTGTTGAGCCTTTCGATCTTGTTCATTCTGATGTTTGGGGTCCTTCTAAAGTTTCTCATGTTTATGGTAATAAATCGTTTGTTTCTTTCATTGGTGATTGCGCTCGTGTAACTTGGATTTATTTAATGCATGAAAAATCCGAGGTACAACAGTTATTCTTTCGATTTTATAAAATGATTGAGACCCAATTTGGTAAAAGAATTAAAAAACTAAGGTTTGACAATGGTACCGAATATGTCAATCAACGTCTTTCCCAATTCATCCAAGATCTGGGCATGATTCATGAACTTACTTGTGTGGACACCCCTCAACAAAATGGGGTTGCTGAGAGGAAGAATCGTTATCTTCTTGAAGTTGCTCGTGTCTTACTTTTTTAGAATCATGTACTCAAGTGCTATTGGGGAGATGCTATTCTTACTGCAGCTTTCTTAATCAACCGCTTGCCTTCTCGGGTCCTTGACAATGTAAGTCCTATTCACTCAATGACTTCATTTTTTCCTCTGTTCTCTCTATGCAGAGTCTTTAACCACGAGGGTTTAGGTGTGTTGTTTTTGTCCACGTTCGTAAATATCTTCGCAGTAAGTTGGATCCTAGGGCTCTCAAATGTATCTTCCTTGGTTATGCCCCTGATAAGAAAGGCTACACGTGTTATCATCCTGCTAGTAAGAAATTCTTTGTCTCAATGGATGTCACATTTCATGAATCTGAGTCTTTTTTCCCAAGTCCTCATCTTCAAGGGGAGAACAGTTCTTTAGTAGATTCATCACCTTCTATCTTTAAGTCTGGACCTTTCATGTCTTCTCCTACACTTCTTCCTCTTGTTTCTGATTCTTCTGTGTCTGACCCATACAATACACCGAAAATATGGAGGATTGTGACACCTGAGTTTGTATATCACAGGAGAAAGCAACCCACATTGTTTCACCAGCAACCTCAATCGTCTGAACCACTGGTAAGTCTTGAATCTCGTTTCTGATCCTAATATTATTTCTTCTCCTGTTTCTGAACCTAATATTGTTGCCTTTAATGATTTGCCTGTTGTTTTTGATAGCTTACCCAGTACCTCTGATGACTTTCTTATTGTCCTAAGAAAAGGGAAAAGATCTTGTACCCAACACCCTATCTCTTATTTTGTCTCTTCTACTAACCTTTCTGTGCAGCACAAAAGCTTTATTTCAGCACTAGATTCTATCCCAATACCAAAATCAGTACATGAAGCATTAAAAGATGAGAATTGGGCTTGAGCCATGCAAGATGATATGATTGCCTTGGAGAAAGCAATAGGGTGCAGATGAGTTTATGCCTTGAAATATAATTCTGATGGTACTCTTGAGAGATATAAGGCTCGGTTAGTTGCCAAGGGGTACACTCAGAACTAAGACATTGATTATAAAGAAACTTTTGCCCTAGTTGCAAAGATGAATACTGTGAGAGCTTTGTTGTCCCTTGTTGCCTATTACAACTAGGATATGAATCAATTTGATGTAAAGAATGTTTTCCTTAATGGTGAGTTAGAAGAAGAAGTCTACATGGAAATCCCACCTGGCTTTGGCTCTTTTGATGGAGGAAATAAAGTTTGCAGGTTAAAAAAAGGCCTTGTATGGATTGAAACAGTATCCTCGTGCCTGGTTTGGGAAATTTACTAAGATTATGCTGGCCTTAAGATATAAACAGAGTCGAGGAGATCACACACTAGCCTTTGAGTTTGAAATTAAAGATTTTGGAAGATTGAAATATTTCCTAGGGATAGAGGTAGCTCATTCAAAGGAAGGAATTTTTATCAGCTAGAAGAAATATGTTCTTGATCTTCTTAAAAAAGTGGAAAAACTTGAGTGTAAACCCTCTAGTACTCCTATTGAGCAGAATCACAAGATGGGTTATGAAGAGGAGAATCCTCCAGTTTATGAAGGACAATATCAGCGATTAGTTGGGAGACTGATATATTTGGCTCATACTAGACCAGACCTTGCTTATGCTGTCAGTATTGTAAGTCAGTTCATGCATAATCCAAAAGAAAAACACATGCAGGCACTGGAGAGAATTCTTCAGTATCTTAAAGCCACTCCTGTTAAGGGACTGTTGTTCTGGCGTGATGGCAATCTCTCTTTAGAAGTTTGTACCGATGCTTATTATGCTGGATCTGTAACTGATCGTCGATCTACCATTGGTTATTGTATGTTTCTTTGAGGTAACCTAGTGACATGGAGGAGTAAGAAGCAAGATGTGGTTGCCAGATCGAGTGCTGAGGCTGAATTTCGAGCTATGGCTCAAGGCGTTTGTGAATTATTGTGGTTTGAGAATTATACTTAGTGTTTTTAAAATAAGATGTGAGGGACCTATGAAGCTGTTTTGTGATAATAAGTCCACCATTTGTATAACTCATGATCCAATTCAACATGATCGAACTAAGCACATTGAGGTAGACCGCCATTTTATCAAAGAGAAGCTTGATAACGGGTTGATCACTACTCTATACATCTCTTTTGGACGTCAATTTGCTGATATTCTGACAAAGGGACTTCCCTCAGAAAGGTTTGAAGAGCTTACTAGCAAGTTGAGAATGATAAATATCTATTCCTCAGCTTGAGGGGGAGTGTTGTAAATAATTGTATTTGTTTATTTCTTTATTTATTTATTTATTTATTTCCATTCTAGAATCTTCTTTGGGCTTAGCCCATTAGGTTATTTAGTCTCTTTAAATAGAGAGCAATTGTACTGATGTAATATACAATTTATCAATACGATTATCTCTTTTTTCAACTGTTTGGTTCTATATTTAAAAGTAAAATATCAAGAAAATATCAAGAAATATGAATAACCATGGACGAGATCAAGAACACTAAGTATACAATATCCACCACCAAGAGTGTCGTAAAACTAAATGTCTTTACGCCCACCTCATTTGGATGCAAAATGCACACCAGTTGATATAGAGCAAGCTAGGTTGCTAGTAGCGGCTCGTAGCGCTGCTAAACCGCTATAGTAGCGGGTAGCGATGGCCGGCCACTACAACCGCGATGCGATGCTTGCCTATAGTGAAAGGTAGCGAGCGGCGTGTACAGGTGTGGAACATGCCGCTACCTGCTATTTGACATTGATTGTGGAATTATGTGTTTGATTTTATGGAATTCATTGTTCATTTTTGCTTAATTTTGGATCCTTTCTTTATGTTCCTTATATTTGACATTGATTGTGGATTTATGTGTTTGATTTTGTATGACTTCTTATGTTTGAGCATTTATATTTGTGTAGTATTAGACTGTTAGTATAATATATGTGGAATTAATACTTCACCGTAGCGGCAATACCGCTACATGCTACACCATTATACCATTTTCGGGGTCTGATGCTATCGGCCGGTAACTGCTACTGACAAGTAGGAGAGCAAGAAGCACGCAAAGGAACGCACAAGTGATACAACAAAGAATGGGAAGAAGCTCAGGCTAATGGCATGTTGGATTTGATTATTTAAGAGAAAATAATCTTATTGATTTTTTTTTTTAAAATCTCCAAGTAAGATTTTAATTATAAGCTGTTTTGAATACAAAATAAGTTAATCTAAAAGCATCCTAAATCTCACTTACAATATGTTAAACAACCAATTCAATTCAAAAGTTTAAACTGTTAGGTGAAGGCTAAATTAATTGTTTTATATTATATTTTTCTAACACACCCCTCTACAAAAGAGCCTATTGGGCTTGAAGCTATGTTGTACCAACATTAACACGGGACACGAAACGACATGACACTTCGACACGCTAATTCTAAAAGGTATTAGATTTCAACACGTTAGGACACGTTTTGATATTAAATAATATTTTTAATATATGTAATATAGTTCATAGTCATATAACAAGTTGTTAATTTAATAAATTTAATAGTATTAAACCATATTATAGGTAAAAGTTCAGCATAGTGTCTAAAATTTAAAATTTAACCAGATTGTATTTGATAAATTTAACAAATTTATAAAAGTCGTTGATGATTGACAGTGACACACGGTCCAAACCAACTGATCCACACAAAACAAGTTTATTCTAGCCTATAATTTTTATATAATGTAGATATGATTTCGTGTAACCTACCGAAGGATCCATTCACTATACAACTATAGTATAGAAACAACTTTTGCCTCCAGAAAATGGGATAGGGGAATATGAGAAAATTAAAGCCTCAACCAAAAAAGTAGTGCGCTCAAGTACACACATATCACATGAGAGAGAGAGAGAGAGAACTTACCAGTGGACTCCAACGAAGTGGAGCAGAGAAGCAGACGGCACGACAACAATGTGAAGAGGAACGAAGAGCAGCACAAGACAGCAATGCGAAGAGACTAGATAGCAGACGATAGCAACGCGAAGAGGAGCAGACGGCCGCAACGCGTGGAGCAGACGGCAAAAGACGATAATGCTTAGGTCGAAGATTATCTTTAAAGTATTTATTAAATGTTTTTTGATTTTTTTAAAATTATAATTTTATTAATATATTATAATTCTTAAAAAAATTAAAATTTTATTACAAAAATGTCATTTGCCGTGTTGAACACGGTCAAATTCGCCTGTCGAAATAGTCAACGTGTTCTAAAATGTTGACCGCGTATCGGATGTGTGTTGGAGCGTGTCGGACAACACGCATTTTTTTCTGGAAAAGGACGTGTCGGTGCATTTTTAAAATATTGAATATTTTTATTTTTATAAAAATTAATTAATATTTTGGACACACTGATCAATAAATTTTTATAAAAATTAATATCATATGACATTTTTTGAAGAATTATATAAATTCTTTATTAAAGGATATTTTTATTAAAAATATTTATTTTTATCATATATAGTATTATACAGTGCATTACCAAATACTAAATGATATTATCTTATACAATATATTATTTTATACAATACCGTGTCAAACGCTTGATAGTATTAAAATTCAATCAGGTCTTATACAATCAGGCCTTATACTATCAGGTCTTATACTATTAGGCCTTATCCTATACTATGCATCAAACATGCCCTTATTGTATCATTGATATAGCAATTGCCTATAGGAAGCATATCAGTTATGCAGAAAAGACATGTAACATGATTTCAAACTCAGCCGTATAACTGTCATATTTTCCTTTCTTCTGCTTTCAGTGTCTCTCTTTTTTTGTTTTTTGTTTCGTTTATTTTTGGCTAGCATTGTTCTTTGCCATGTTCCCTTCTTTATATTTAACAAAATTTCTTCATTGATGCAAAGAAGGAGTCAAACTATATTATTATTGGAAGGGGATTCCTCCGGTTGGTCTTTTTTAATGCCTAGAATGTGCAATATCCTGATAACTTTAATTCTTGAGTTTCAAATTTCCATGCATAATGCACATCCTTGACTATTACTAGTGATGATGTGATCTATTCCCCCCCCAAAAAATAGCTTATCTACTTTTTTTATTAAAAAGAAAACTTATGATATTTAGGTGCATACTTGATGGCGAAATGTTGGTTTGGGATACATCCTTGAATCGATTTGCTGAGTTTGGGTCAAATCAGGAAATAGGCATGTACTTTAATTTGGCTTAGTCACCTTAAAACTTTAATTCTCAGTAGCATTTACTATTTTCTGTTCTTGGCAGCCAAGGCAGCAAGGGATGGTCTTGATAGTGATAGACAGGTTCTCTAATTTTTCATCTTCTTTATTTTGGTTTTATATAGAAACTATCAAGTTCAGTTTTAACTTTTTGTGACTTCGTTCTTGATGCAGTTATGCTGTATCCTTGTATCTGAACAGTTCAACTATTAGTTCCACCTATCAGGAACTTCGACATGGTTTTGGTTTCAATGGAAGAATAAGTATCTAATACTGTATGTTATGAAAATTTTCTAATGCAATAAAAATTTATATCTGATATGCCTTGACTTGGAGTGGCTAGATGTTGCATTTGATATCCTTTATTTTGGAGATACTAGTGTTATTCACCAAACTTTGAAGGAAAGGCATGAGATTCTCCGGAAAGTTGTGAGGCCAATGAAGGGTTGTTTGGAAATTTTAGTACCTGATGGTGGTCTCAACAGTCATCGTTCTTCTGGTAAGATTTTCTGAGGAGAAATTTGTCTTGTGATGTGTAATTAATTTAAAGAAATATTCTTTCTCCTTGCATATTGTAAAATAAAAGGATTAGTAAAATACTTGAGGAATTCCTCAACAATCCCGTTCTATTTATTTAGGATTTACAATCTCTAATAATTGGAAATTACAAATCAAATCAAATCCTAATTAATTACGTAATATACAATTCCCAAATTGGAGAGATAGGATCTATTTCCCTTAATTGAAGATACTATCCAACACTCTTGTTCAAGCGGGAGCATACTTATCTTATGCATCAAACTTGTTACAAGATGAAATGTATTCAAGGTTCCCATAACAACTTTGTGAGGATATAGAATAGCTGATCACTAGAATTAAAGAATTCAATGATGATTTCCTAGAAAAGAACTTTCACCCTGATAAAGTGATAATCGTTCTTTGTATGCTTGGTCCTCTATAGAAGTCTAGATTTGATGCAATGTATAAAGCTGATTTATTATCACAATATAGCTTCATATAATCAATGTTTCCCTGCTTCAACTAACTAAGTATCTGCGTAACCCATATAAGTTCACAAGTGACCGTTAATGTGGCTCTATAATTGAATTTTGCACTGGACCACAAAACAACATTTTGCTTCTTGCTTTTCTAGTACACAATATCTTTGTTAGAATAGATATGATTAGATTTGAATAGATTGCTTCCTATTTGTAAATATTCTTTTTGGATTAGATCTGGGCTTCTCTCTTAAGCCCATTAGGGTCTCTATATATTGTAACTCTTTGTATTAGATTAATACACAACACATTATTTTATATTCAAGTTGGTGCCAGAGCTCTTTTGTTGTGGGGACCCTCGCTTTCGCTTAAAACTTCGTTCTCGCTTTAAAACCTAAACCCACTGCTTAGGAATCCTCTTTTCTTTGTCGTGCGTCCTTCCGGCAAGCCATACAGGGCTGTAAGCTCCTTTAGAATAATTTCCAAACGCGTCAGCACCTCTGACAGCCACCGAAACCGCCGTCCAGCACTGTTCAGGCCGCCGGAGAAGTTTTCCGGCGAGTTTTCGAACCAAACCACCCGCGATCAAGAGCCTCTCCTCCCGCCGACGAAGTCTGTGGAAGTCCGACCACTATAGCAGCCATCACGCGCAGCCTTTCTCCTCTGCGCGTGGTGCTCACGCGCCATCTTCAGCCGGCGCGTGTGCACTGTTCTGGTGGAATTTTTCGCCCGTTCTTGGACAGAAAAGCTCGTCCTCTCCTCCCCTTTCCAGATCTGTGATTGGATCTTTGTGGGTCTCACTTTTTGTGCGCGCCTCTTCTTGATTTGTGATCAGGTTCGTTCCTATTTAGTTATTTTATATCCTTGTGATTTAATATAATGGCAGCAACTTCTCCTGTTCATTCGGAGGTCAGTTCTCCACCTCGTCCAGCCAAAAGTTATCCTAATATCTATTCTAACAATGTTGAAAGTCCAGCCAAAAGTTCATCTCCACCAATGTTGGCCCATTACCTCTTCAAAGTTGAAGGGTTCTGTTAATTACAAGAACTGGGCCACCTCTGTTCGAGTTTGGTTCTTTGGACAAGGACATAGGAACCATCTCTCGACTAAATCTACTGATATTCCCAAGGAAGAAAAATCTGATTGGGAAAGGATTGACAACCAGCTTCTGAGTATCCTTTGGCAGTCGGTTGATCCAGTCGTCTTGGACATCTTCTATTCTTTTCAAACTTGCACTGAAGTGTGGGAGGAAGCAAAACACCTCTACACTAATGATCTTCAGCAGCTCTATTCCATCATGTCTCAGTTTATGGATCTACGCAAATCATCTGACACTCAGATGGAGACATATGTTGGCAAAAGTCGATCTCTGATGCAGGCATATTTGGATATGTTGCCATACCCTACTGATGCGTCTGCATATCGGAAACAGGTGGAACGTCTCTTTATGGTTGCCACACTTTCTGGTCTTCCTGAAGAATATGATAATGTCCAGGATACTATCTTGACCAGTGGGGATCCTGATCTATCAATGACGTATCAGCGTCTTTTGAATCTTAATAAGAAATCTGCTCTTGCATCATCTACTGTTGCTGATTCCACTGCTCTAGTTTCTCGTACTGACTTTCGCGGGAACATTGGAGGTGGTCGTGGACGTGGTAGAGGCCAGGGAGGACGTGGCCCAGGAGGACATGGTCAGCGACCTCGTTGTAATTATTGTCAGCAACTCGGTCATTATGAGAGAACCAAACATATAGAGATTGATTGTCACTTCATTCGAGAAAGGATTCAGTGAGGAGAAATCAAGACAGCTTTTGTTAACTCTAATGATCAACTAGCGGATGTCTTCACTAAAGCTCTTAGAGGTCCTATGGTGGAATACATTTGTAGCAAGCTTGGTGCTCACAATATATACGTACCAGCTTGAGGGAGAGTGTTAGAATAGATATAATTAGATATGATTAGATTTGAATAGATTGCTTCCTATTTGTAAATATTCTTTTTGGATTAGATCTGGGCTTCTCACTTAAGCCCATTAGGGTCTCTATATATTGTAACTCTTTGTATTAGATTAATACACAACACATTATTTTATATTCAAGTATCTTGAATTAAATCTCCTGTCAATTGGCAAACTAGCCTAATTAGCATCAAAGTATCCTATAACTTAAGCTTTACCCTCATCTTCATACAACAATCCTTGATTCAAATCATTGTTAATATATTGTAAGGTTTGTACCACATCATTCCAATAATTAACACACAAACATTGCATGAATTGGCTCACTATATTGATTGCGAAAAAAATGTCTTTTTGGATAGTTTAAGGTAGTTTAGCTTCCCTACTAAATCTTCTATTCCTGTCAGGATTCAAATATGGTTCTCCTTGATCTGGTATTAGCTTGTTCAGATCCATTTGACTTGTCAAAAGGTTTGCAGCATGTCATACCCAATTCTTTGAATGTATCCAAAGCATACTTTCTCTATGAAATTACAATATCATCCTTTGATTGAACTACCTCAAGACCAAGAAAGTATAAAATTCCCAAGAGGATTTGTACATTTGTAGGACAAGTTATCTGGTAAGCTCTGCTACCAAATCATTCTAACTTGGTATCAGAGTAGGTTTCGACCTCTCTCTGTTAGGGAAACACGAGTGTCGTTGTGCCCTCTGCCCAACGGTTTTCTTCCTTGCCATGCCTTAGTATTGGAAAACCATTCTTGCCATGCATCCTTCCGGCAATCCATCGCCGCGTCACATCTCCTTCCAGCAGTAGTTCCACATTTTCAGGCAAATTTTCCAGTTGCTGACCTCTGGATTTGGAGAGGCTCCCAAAGTCAGCCAACCTACGTTGGTTTCACGCCAAACTCATCCATATGCTTTGTCCCACACCGCCACAATCCGCGACCGTTGCATTTATGTCCAAGCGCGTGAGAGCACATCAAAGCACTGCTTCTGTCTAGTCTTTCACAAATTCATGCATGGCACCTTTCTATGCCCTTACGAATTTTCCAAATCGTGGGTCCCATTGTTTTGGTGTTTTCAGCATTTTTGTTTGTCGTTCCAACATTTTTCGACACTTTTTGCTTTGATATGCCTCCTTTGGCATCTATTACTCCAACTATAACAGTGTGGTCATGGTTGCGTACCTGGTGGTAACAGTCCTCAATGCTCTTTCTATTCTAAGTTGGGACATTTTGTGGAACGCTGCTTGGCAAAACATGACAAACCAAATTTTTCTGATTTTGTTTAAACTGAGCAACATCATCTTCTACTCCTATTGTGAACATTTCGAGTGCTGATATGAAGCCTTTCTTCACTTTAAGCCCTCCTTACAACACTTTGTTACAAAAATTGGTTACTCCTTTTGATCATCTTTGCCGTAATAAGCATCGTTGTCAAGATTGCATGCCAGCTCATAGGATCGCACGATCATATGAGTTTTTCCACCATGGCTACGCCAACTCTGTTGCAAATTCGTACATGAATAGGTTCACACAGGATTTTCGGGCAAGATCGTAAAAAACGTCAGGGTTATGCAATCCGTCTGAGCCAGACGATTTGCAAAAATATCCAGAGAAAGTAACTGAGAAAGAGAAGAAAGATGCAGGAGTCGACGATCATCATGGGAGACCAGCTCGACGAAGAGGGCCACCACTCGTGCTTGTTTCTACATGGGGAATCGTCGTTTTACTTTGGAATAGCATATCCACATGTTTCGAATGTCATCCCTTTGCACTTTTTTTTCTATTATTTAAATTTACAGATTTCAACTTTCACTTTTCACTTTTTTTTTTCTTTTATTTGAATTAGCAGAATAAAACATATATGATTAATAAAAATTGATTGTTAAATTACCCTTTTTACAATTTGAAGTTTTTAATTAAATTTAATAGTGATTTAAACATTATTATTTATTTATTATATATATATATATATATATATATATATATATATATATAGGTAGGATCCTTTGACACCAGTGTCAAATTTGAAATTTGACACTTCATTTGAGAGCCATTAGATCAAAAAAGATCAATGACTCTGATTTGTAAGCATGTGACACCATTGATCTTCTTTGATCTAACAGCTCTCAGCTGAGGTGTCAAAGGATCCTACCTCATATATATATATATATATATATGTTTTAAATATAATTTTATATTTTAAGTAAATGAATTATTTTTTGGAGTTGTCTCTGATATTTGAACTGTTTTGTTGTCTTTTATATTTGCTGTCTTCTATGATTTGGAGTTGTACTATTAAAATACAATATTTTCTTTAATGTTCAAGGGAGGTAGTGTAATTCAAAATTATTAATATATTTTTGTTGTTATGGATGTGTTTTTTTTAATCTTGAGTGTGCGTCAACATTTCTACTAGCAATATGCATATCTTTAATATTATTTTTAAACTGCCAGTATCCACATTTGTTAATATTTACATGATTCTCTGTTTATTGATGCCAAGGAGTTGCATATGCTTATACAACACTTTTGACTTTGTGCCATAATTTAATCGATTGAATAACCTCTCACCTATGCTGCTATGCAGGTGAACTGTGTTGGTCATTTATTGCTCATAATGTGGATGAAGTTGAGAGGTTTTTCAAAGAAACCATTGAGAATAGGTCAGCAAAAACCCTGATTCATTTTGCCTCCGAAGCTATATGTGGATATTTAAACCAGCTGTCTATAGATTTATTTGCTGGTCTCCTATTTTCTTCTGAATTGTCCGAAGACGGTATGATCTAGCAGAATTTAGGAAGTTGCAAACACTTAACTGAGATAGCTGTTTGTATATGTCAAGCTAAATGATGCCAGACTTTGGTATAAGAAGATTTTTTATAATGTAGCCATGTAAGGATCTAGGAGAATAGGAGTTCAGTTCTGGTTCCCTAGTCCTTTTCTTCCTTCTTCAGGTCTTAGCAAACCTGACTCTTCTTGAGTTGTCTCTCGCCATCTCTCAATTCTTTTTTGAAGGTTCAATATATTATTACGGAAAAACATAGTTGTTAACTTGTTAAAGGCATACCTCATCAAATATCTGCGTATAAACACCTATTTGTTTTATATGTATGCTAAATTGCTAATATTTGTTTATGTTTTGTATCTTTTTCTGTATGCCTGTAACATAAGAGTTTGGGGAAAATATTCCATCTCTTGATTTATTCATATGGTCTGAGATACATTATAGGGAAATATTACTCTCCTTTTACATGAGGTAACTTATCTCATTTTCTCTCACTTTGATTTTCGCACCCCACTTTTTTCTTCTTTTTCTTTTTTCTTGTAATGGTGGGACCCACCCATTTTCTCTCTACCACATAAGATAACTATCTTATGTGGAAGGAGATTAATAAAACCCTACATTATATAGCAAAGATAGAGATAAATGAAACAAAAAATAAACAATTCTCAGAATTAACTAGGATTCCTTAAAAATCATGAACAGCAATAAAACACAATACTTGATCACAATCATTCTATTTATGAGATGCTGTGATTCTCATAATATTTCCGGATTGTTATCCATCTAAGGCTGGGGAATAGATATTAGTCTTTTTCAGCTTGCCAACATTTCCAGTTTGCACATACTTCTTAAGAAATTTTATTTTTCTCCTTTATTTAGAGATGAGGGAATTGTTGTAAAAGACCTCAGTTCCAAATGGGAACCTAGTGATCGCAGTGGAAAGTGGCTAAAATTGAAGCCCGAATACATTCAAGCTGGTTCTGATCTTGATGTACTTATCATAGGTATATGATTTGTGTTCTTAAATTTATATACATCATGAAGCAGCTTGTTTAACATGTTTATTTTGACTTTGCTGTTTGACTATTATAGGCGGCTACTATGGCTCTGGACGACGGGGAGGAGAGGTTTGGTCATTTTACCCTAGAATTTTACTTTTGAATGAACTATTGTTTTGTCCTTCAAATGAACTTGTAGGGGCATGCTTTTTATTTCAGGTTGCTCAATTCTTGGTAGGCCTCGCAGAGCGTCCATCCCCAAATACACATCCTAAGCGGTATAAATACTTTAGTATATAACTAATGTTTGACTTTTTCTGGCTGTCATTCTTCTTGTGTTAGTATTTATTTTTAAGAATAATTGAGATCTTTTGCTGCAATGTGGGTAATTCTGATTGCATTCTTGAACCAAATGGATTGCATGCAATTTGGGTGAGATTTGATTGTAGCGCTTATACTACTATATCTTTCTTTTATATTCTCAAAAAACATGAAAGTTTGTAAGAGAGAGTGTGATTTTATTTTGGCAAAATCAACTCTGCATACTTCAATGAAAAATTCAGTTAGCTTTATCAATTAAGGAGAGAGAAAACCAAAGAGAAAATGAGTGGTAAATTAAAATTGTTTTAATATATGGCCAAAGTTGAATTTCTCCATTTTCTTGGTCGTTTTGTGTTTTGTACTTCTGAGGAGGAGGATTCCTTATCTTCCCTTCTCTTCATAATCTTTTCCCTTTGTCTTGATGAATTTCTTCCAAAAACAAATTCGTTGGATGATAGCATTTTCTTGGCTTGCTGCCCGTCCTGTCTAAAAGTTTAAGATTTGTTTGAAATCTCAATAAGTGCAGAAAATAAAAATTTTGGCACTGAATTTATGTAGTGGTGTTTGTTTAATACATGCCAAAAATGAAATAATTTATAAAGTGAAAAGCGCTGAAAATGTTGAGCACATGAGGTCATACAACTTGTATTAAGAGGGAAATGATATTCCTTCTTCTCTACCAAAGCATCTAGGATCTTCACTATTTTCTGCATCATTTCTTTGAATCCTAATATACTGGCAGAATCGTTGGTCCTATTCTTCGTATGCTTTCCCAAATTCTGCAAAGCTTCAAGATGTACTCCCATGGTGCTTATCCTCTCAAAGATCTGGCAGGTCAGACCAGTTGATACAGCTTTGGATTCTTTAGTGATTGAAGCGGACAACACCTCAAGGAAGAATGAAAGAAAAATGGGAAGAGGGAGTAATTTTCTGTTTGTTGATGAGAATAGCTGAAATAGACACTTCTCTTGTCAAGGGGCACCCTCCTTCTATACTGAGCACTCTCAGCCTATATTCAGAAAAATACCATTCAATGTCCAATAGGGAGGACAACACCCCCTTTTATACAAACAAAACCAACTAACCACCTCTTAACTATCTAATCACTGAGAATATTCTTTTAAAAGGAATATCATTTCCCTCCTAATACAAATCGTATCAGCAGCATTTCTTTCCTTATTCAAATCACTTGATGCATTATTCCCTTTAGCACTTTCAATAGTTTCAACTTTAAGTTGAGCACAATTTCTGCACTAAAAATGAAAATATTTTCAATATTGCAAAGAAGCCCTAAGTTATATACTTAGATTTTGCTAAACTAGTTTTGGTATGGACATATTGAAACTTAAATCTACACCCATTTCCCGTAAAACAATACCGGGAAGGTAAGTGAATTTTGCATTGAATTAGATGAACCATTGCAAAGTTTCCATATGTTTAATTTTGTTCTTGTACTTTTAGTCTTTTAGAGAACTATGGTACCTCTTTCGGGAAATAGAGTCATGATACTTAAAACTAGCTTGTTTTAACTTATGTACATAATTATCTATGCATAGTAATATTAACTAGGTCCTTCTTTATATTGCAGGTTTATCTCCTTTTGCAGAGTTGGTACTGGACTTTCTGATGATGAGCTTGATGCTGTAGTAACCAAACTAAAACCCTACTTCAGGTAAGTTATATATGTGGGTCAATTTTTTTGATGAGGTAATTGTAATGGGTATTTTCTTGTGTTTTAGTTGCTTGCATTTTTTGGTATTAAAGCTAAAAGATTTAAATGGTGTAATTTATCAAATATCATTGACTTTTAGTTTAATTTTTTTCCTCTTCTTTCTCTCTCTCGTAGAAAGTATGAGCATCCAAGGAAGAGGCCACCAAGTTTTTACCAAGTTACTAATCATTCAAAAGAACGACCTGATGTGTGGATTGATAGCCCTGAGAAGTAAGTCTTTTCACCTTAATGTCTAAACTCTGAAGTATATGTAGTTTGCATTTTCAATGATGATAGATTACCTTTCTCCTTATGCAGATCATTTATTCTGTCTATAACCAGTGATATCCGAACTATAGAATCTGAGGTGGGTCCTTGCCAATGCAGTGTGTCTATCTCAGTGGAAGGGTTGCAATCTATATAATCTTTCTTGTCTCCCAAACTGAACGGTTTTAATTTGGATGATTTCATTTGCAGGTATTTGCCGCACCTTACAGCCTGAGATTTCCTCGGATTGACAGAGTTAGATATGACAAGGCTTGGCATGAATGCCTTGATGTGCAATGTAAGGGAATTACAAAAGGTTTTTGGTATCTTCATTGATGACGTTGCTGTAAGGTTGATTACTTTCTTTTTTTACCCTTTGCAGCATTCATAGAACTAGTGCATTCTAGCAACGGTACCACACAGAGGGATACAGAATATGGCAGCAAGCAATACACTAAACCAAAACGCATGAAGTCCTCCATAAGGGGAGAAAAAAACATGTCCATTGTTCCTTCTCATTTAATTCAAACTGATGTTTCCAGTGTTAAGGGGGGTTCCCTAATATTTTCAAATATGATGTTTTGTATCCTGGAGAATCTTGCTAGCTACATATCATCTGTCTAGCTAACTGATTGTGGAAATTCTTCTATCTATATTTTGTTTTAGAAATATGTCTTTCTACTTTATTTCCTTTTGTTAAAACTACTGTGTGAAGCATGAATTTAGTGTGATTGAAGGTATTTGAGTCCCTTGTACTATCCTGTACGACATTGTACTATTAGCCTATTTTATTCTATGTAAATACATGACCAATGTGGCTGCAGTTTTTCAAATTCCCTATTACTTTCACACCTTACATATTTTATTTTGACTTGCCTGTTCTTCCATATATTTTCCTGCTCCACACTCACCGAAATGCTTGTTGTGTCAAAAGAAAGCAGTTACACATGCACAAGTTGTAATTTAATGACAATGCCTTGAGGCTCCATGATTCTTGTGCTCTGAAAAGGCCCTTTGTTGCCATATAAACAGAAGGAATGCAATTCTTTCATTTCAAAGATATTTTATATTGCTTTACTTTTTTCCTCATAATTTTTCTAAAGATGTTAGACAGTCTAAGAGCATTAGAGAAATAATTCATTACATCAATCATTCTGACTGATCTGAAAATCCTTAAAGGTGCAAACTAGTATCCCTTGACATCTACAGACTTTGTCAATGTGCCTCCATCTCATTCTCTCAAGTCCTTACACCAAATAATTGCTGAGAATGGGGGAACTTTCTCGATGAATTTGAATAACTCCGTCACCCATTGTGTTGCAGCAGATAGCAAGGGTTCTCTCTCTCTCTCTCCCCCTTTGTGTGCGTGTGTGTGTTATGTGCATGAAAAAGCACAAAGTTTTATTTGCTGAATATCTAATAATGACAGTTGTCTGTAGGATTTAAATTCGAAGCAGCAAAACGTCATGGTGATATCATTCATTATACTTGGGTATTAGATTGCTATGAACAAAAGAAGCTTGTCCGCTTACAGCCGAAGTAAGTTTCCTGACTGAATATGAACTTATTTCCATCCTGTAAAGCTCTTCTGATTGTATGTTGCTTTCAATGTTTCCTTTGAAAGGTACTTCCTCTTCCTATCTGAACTGACAAAGAAGAAATTACAAGAAGAAATTGATGAGTTCTCCGACTCTTACTACTTGGATCTCGATCTTGGAGACATAAAGCAGGTAATACCATTAGCAACTAGCTAGTGTGTATTATGTTAAATTTTGGAAGTGTTGTACCCAGTGTTGTAAAAACGTAGTGTCGAAACGTAGAAACGGACCGTGTCTACGTTTTTATGACTAAAATTGAGTCAAAATGGTAGTTGAAACGGGTTGAGTCAAAACGGTTGAAACGTCGTGTCAACTTGGTAAACTCGGTTGACTCAGCGAGTTTATCGAGTTGACTCAGTTTTTTTAAAAAAAATAAAAAAAATAAAGAGTTAGATCTGACGAAGAGGGTAGAAAGAGAAGCAAAGACGATGAAGAAGGAGAAGAAGAGCTTCATCGCCAACACCTTCACCATTGTTGGTTGTTACTCCAACCCAAACCAAAACACAAAAGAAGAAGAGCAGTTCAAGTTGCAGTTGCAGAAAGAAAAACTGATGACATTTCTTCTTACTTGTTTCTATGCTTTCTTTTCTCTTCTACTCTCGCTTTAGTTTTGGCACTAAATAGCTCTTGATGCAAAGCATTTAAACTATATCCACCATTAAGAAGAGAGAGAGTGAGAGAGAGAGAGAGAAAGCAACGTCAGTGTTAATAAAAGGGAACAAAGAAGAAGAGACTCACCGCCACACTCTAATGCTTGTATATTATTATAATCAATGCTTTAAGTAATTAATAAATCCATGAATAATATAAAAATATATATAATATGAATTTTTTTTTGCATACTTCAAATACATATATATATATATATATATATATATATATATATATAAAACACGTAATAATAAAAAAACTTATATGTATTTTTAGTCATTAATTAGCTTAAATTTAGTAACTTATATAATTAATACATTAAAATCATTCTATATAAATTAAAACAAAGATTAAAATTGATATTCTTATAAAATAAACATGTTTGTGGGTTTTGGTTTTATATATGTTGGATATATATTTTATTTTTAATACGTTAGTAAACTCTTACATTTCGTTTACATTTTGCGATTTTACGTTTTTGCTCACCCCTACCGTTTTTACATAGACTCTACGTTTTAACAACATTGGTTGTAACAAGAGGGCGAGCCTGAGCAATGGTAAAGTTGTTTCTTTGTGACTAAAAGGTCACGGGTTTGAATCCGGGAAACAACTTATTTACAATTATGCAAAGGTAAAACTATGTATAAAGATTGCCATCACCCCACTCTTACTAGGCGGGGTTTAATGGTGAGTGGTTTTGGAAGTGTTGTACTATATATATCTAACCAGTATGATGTAAGCTTTATTAGGAAAAGTTCACGTATGGAATATGGAAAGGAATCAGAGTTAACTTTTATTCATCTTTTGCAGCTCTTAAGCAATATTCATAGGTCAGAAGATGTCAGCGTTGTTGATCATTACAGGAAAAAATACTGTCCAAAGGATAAGTGGTCCTTCTTTTATGGATGCTCCATTTATTTACACTCTGCAATACCATCATTGTAAGATACAATAATGTGAAATCGAATCTATTTCTTAACTTAAGCACATGATATAGGATTTTGATTATGATTATTATTTTGATATAGGATTGTAAGTTTGATTATTATTTATTATTATTCAACGCTTTCATATAGGAAAGGAGATTGGGAAGTTCTATTGGGACTTGCTTTGAGGAGATTCAAACTTGAAATTCTCATGGGTGGTGGAAAAGTTACCGCTAATCTATCTTCTGCAACCCATTTAGTGGCCTTGTTTGTGCCAGGATATCATACCAACTTTCTAGATGAAATACAGAGAAGGTAAGTTATCTGTCTATTGGCAACTTGCCGGGTTAAGTGTTGTTGAACAATCTTATCAATTTTATTGTGGATTTACAAGTTAATCTTACTTTAGATTCACAAGATCACTGTAAATTCTTAGTACTCTAGCTTAGGCTTTCACTTTATTTTTAGAGAGCTCACCGTTTGTATGAAAAACAGAACATAATATTTTTTTCAAGAGTTTTCACATGGAAGGTACTTTAGGATTGCTATGAAAAATTGTGTTACCGCATTTTTCTTTGGTCCATAAGTTCTTTGTCATTGAACATACACCACCAAATAAATGCACCTTGTGACCGAGTGGCGGTAGAAAACTTAATGGTCATCCTCACTCCAAATCAAACCAAATTGTCAAACAACAGTGCTAAATCTTACAAACCAAACTCTTGGAGATTGCTTGAGTCCATATAGAGATTTAAGGAGATGATAAACTAGGCTAGAAGACTCCCCCCGAGTAACGAATCCACGAGGTTGTTCCAATAGACTTTTCTTAACAAATCACCATCGAGAAAAGCATTCTTGATATCCAGTTGACAAAGTAGCCAGTGACAAATAGCAACCATAGATAGAAGAGGCGAACATATGTCATTTTCTCCATGGGAAGGTGTCCCTGTAATTGAGTCCAAAGACCTAGGTATAACCTTTCGCCACCAATTGAGCCTTGTGACGATTCATTTGACCTTTAGAACCAATCTTAATAGTGAATACCCACTGACAGCCAACAACATACTTATCTGAAGGAAGAGGTACAAACAAGATTGGAAGTGTCACTACTCTGAAGTGCACACATTTCATTGATCAAAGCTTGACACCACCCTGAATGGGTGTAACACCCCCAAATTCTATCACTACAATAATAAAATATTCCTATGGTAGAGATATTGAAAAAAAAAATAACATTTAAATTATTTAATAAGATTACATAAATATTGCGAAAGCTAAATTAAAATCAATTTGGAGAAATGTTATCGCCGCACCTGTAACAGGGACAAGTGCAAGGCTAACTAAAAGATAATCTCATTCCAAAATATATATATTCAATGTAAATATTTACAAATTTAAAATATAAATTAGGAATCTAAATATATCTAATACATTTGTAAATCCTAAGCCTAGTTTGAAAAGTTTGAGATGTTATCCTTATTGCTCACTGCCAGCCCCAAACTTTGCAATCTGCTTCACTGAAACTCTGCTCCCCCCCGAAGGATCATTGCAGCACAAAGACAAAGACAAACAATCAGCAAAAGCTGGTAATCCCAATCTAGAACACAACGAAGATAGTCATAAGTAAATCAATAATTATAATCAACTCAAAATCAATCAAGGCATTTTATTTAGAATAATTATATTTCAATAAATCAAAATGATATTTTATTAAGGATAATCATTAACTAACATATTCAGCACAACATTAATGACAATATTACATAGATGATAATAATCATAACTCAAATATTCATCATAATCAAATCAAGTATGAAATTCTATTATTAATCATGTTTAAGCTCATTTAGTGTATTTAGTGGGAAGGGAACCATGGTAGACCCGGGAAACTCTGCCAGTCACAAATAATCAAATAGGCCATAATCAAAATATCTCTTCTTAGTGTGCATACCTCTTCCAAAAGTTGCTACTAGTATCCCGAGAAACCCTGCCAGACACCACTTTGGGAAGAACGGATAATATCTGTTCACATCGTATAAATGTATCAGAGGCATAAAGCCCAAAGGTTGTATTCATCACTCTAGGAGGTACCATCCCAAAGTTATCCTTTCACTAGTTAATTAATCGCAATCACACACAATCAGAAACATTCAATCTTGTCATATTTAGAAAGTTTCTTCTTTAATATATAACCTCTTTGCCAGTTACTCAAGGGTATCAAAATTTCTTTCAATTATTCAATAAAACTCATATTGCACATATATCTCACATAATAAAAATTTTCATCATTTTATCAAAGATAGAGTTTACTCTTATGATTTATTATCTATCACCATCAAGGTATTGATATTATTCCCAAGCACATCACACCCATAACAAATTTTCCGTACATCGAACATAATAAATTTTCCATACATCGCACATAATAAATTTTCCATAGGAATTAAATAAAATTCCTAATAAGACTCATATAATATATAATTAATCTTATACTTCTCTAGGGTTAATCAAATGAGTTCCCAAATAATATAAATAATTTTATAAAATTTTAATATAATTTTCTAGGGGTCAAAACCCAATAAAGTTCCCGGATAATATAAAAATTTACAGATAATTAAATATTAGGGATTGGGATAAATTTTTATATAAAACAAAACTATAGTGCTCTTAGTATTAGGATTACAAACAAAATTCATATAAAAGATAACCTACAAATACCTAGGAATTAGGGTTACCTATACCAAATTTCATATATATAAAAATAACCTAAAAGAACATAGAAATTTCAAATTTCATATACACAAATAACCTAAGAGTATATTAAGATTACCTGGTCTCCATTTTTGCTAACTTCTAGAAGGAAAAATAATTTGGGGTAGAGAACAGGTTGGTAACTAGAAGAATATAAAAATAAAATAAGCTTTTGAAGTAAGAAGATAGAGAGTAGTAGAGGAGAAGAGGAGTGGAAGAGAAATACTAAGGGTTAGTAGGGTTAGGCTAGGCCTCTAATTATAGCTGAAGTCTTGGGTTCAGATATGGGTTGGGCTTCGTACAATTATTTTTCTTTTCTTCTTAATTTCTTATGGCTCAGAATATCGCTGACTCATCATATCTAATCAAATAAAGATTGCTAACTCATCCTAATCCAATCACATTACCAGTCAAACATTAATGCATAAATGATCAATCAATTAATAATTCAATTAATCACAATTTATCATTAGTTCTAATAATATATATATGGGTTTTATTAGTCTCATTTAACATAAGATAGTTATCTTATGTTGTAGAGAGAAAATAGGTGGGTTCCACTATTACAAGAAAAAAGGTGGGGTACAAAAATCGAAGTGAGAGAAAATGAGAGATGATATCTTATGTAAAAGGAGAGTAATATTTCCCTATATATATATATTATTACCACTAATTTATAATTTATTATTATTATAAATTACTATTATTTTTCTGGAATATTACAATGGGATAAAGCCTCACTTGTTGTCATGGGAATAGACACAAAAGACAAAGAAGAAATACAAGCAAAATGCGAGGGTGATAGGTGGTGATAGCTCAAAGCAACCTAGTAGGATTACAAGAAGTACAAACTTTGTGAAGAGTAATAGGAATGTCAATGTTAGGAGACAAAGCTGAAGCCGGAGGCGAAGAAGGGGTCGAAATGGAGTTTGCATCGATAATAGTTGTTAGGGCAATGTCAAGCAGTGGACGCGGACGCGACTGGTGCTGATAGACTTGTAGGGGATGGTCAGGAGCCTAGTCAGCCTAAGCTGGGGTAAACTATGGTGGGGTGTGAACTTAATCGAGATGAAAGGAGGTAAAGTAGTAGAGCTAGACTTAGGGGTGAAGGAAGAGGACCCAAATAATGGAACTAACTCATTAGTCGAGACTGGATTGCGGTGATAAATCGGAGAGTAACATCTATAATCCCAAGAAAGAAACACTTGTGGGATTGAGTAGTAATATCTATAAGTCAATGAAGGCAGGGGCTACAATAAAGGTATACTAGGGTTTCACAAAAGCAGAGTCTCTTAGGTCGGGATTTTTGACACCAAGTTCGAATTTTAAATTCTAAATATTATTTACTTAAATGGTCATGTACAAACGTTTATAATATATAGACTAATGTGAATAATTGCTTTCCTAATAAAGAGCTAGTTCAACGTGTTGAAATTATAGGGATTTAGGTAGGGGAGGAAAATACTCATAAGAAAATTATATGTATATTGTTGTGAAGGATACATTGTGATATGATGTGATACAAAATACAAAGCATTAATTCCTATTTATATTAATACTAGGTTCCAAATTATATTTTTTGTTATATGATGTGATACAAAATACAAAGCATTAATTCCTATTTATACTAATATTAGACTCCAAATTCTAATTTCAGAAGGAAACAAATCATGAAATTTTAAGAATTAGGGAAACTATTCTCAAGAGTTCATATAAGATAGTCTAAACTATTTTAACATACAGTCAAGATATTATACAATATTTTTCATATATTATAACATTTCCCCCCAAGTTAAAGCTTACTAAGTTTTTAGCTTGTTAAAAATGACACCTTAAAAATGAAAAATAACCAATATAGTTTGAGACATAACCGGCGGGGCCAATTTGCTTCGGGTACAAAGACCACTGGGGGAAAAGTGTCTTCCAAATTTCTCCTCCCCAATGCTATATTGGACAAGAGGCAATGAGAGCAACACTACGGATAGGAGTTTGCATTGGAAAAGAAACAATAAAGTAAGCAAAACCATGGTAAATGACAATGGCTACCAACCCAGTAGGATCAAGAGTTGAACTTGATGTCAACTTAGCAAGACCTGTCAATGACTAATGGTGGCAAAAGGTGACATTCAAAAATCAACACCTAAAACACACTGCATAACAAACGATAACCACCAATAATGGTGATGACACACAAATCACTAGTGGCAAACAACGTACAATGAGAAGGAATCAACACCAAGTCCCAAAACAATAATGAACCCCAGCAACGGCGCAATGTATCTAGGGCAAATTAGGGGTTGTGAATGCAATGGGTAGTATGAAGATGAGAAGATGAGGGTGTGATGGTTTGACGAAGAGCTTGAGACTAGTGAGGCGAGAGAGGAGTTCACATTGAGAGGTCTGAGAGTGGTGACGGTCATGGTGACGCATTAATCTGACGTGTCGAGAAGAAACAAATCACGTGCGGAAGCGGTTGGTCGTTAAACCACATCTAGGCTGGACTAAGGTCGCTGTCCAGAAAAGTTATCGGCCAGCAACAGATGATGGTCAAAACAATGCGGACA